GATTTTTTATACATTGAAAACTTTTATCGTACCTTGAAATGTGTAAAATTACTAAAATACGCTTAAGAGTATTTTTATAATTTGACTTTTCTAAGGTCGATTTTTCATGCAACATTCCAGATCATGGTTTTATACTATTTCATAATTTTTGATACTTTAAAAACCTTGATTGCACTTTGAAAGATGGAGAATTACCAAAATACCCTTAAGGGTATTTTCATAATTTGATCTTGTCAAGGTTAGTTTTTCTTGAAACATTTCAAATCACAATTTTACATTATTTCATGATTTTTGGTGCATTAAAAACCTTGAACGTACCTCAAAATGTGTGAAATTACTAAAATACCCTTAAAAGATAATTTTGTAATTTGATATTCTTGAAGTTGGTTTTTCACGAAAACTTTTAGATCATAATTTAATATTATTTTAAGATTTTTGGTGCTTTAAAATTGCATAAACATAGAAGAAATCATATTTCTCTAAGAAAATTGCATAAGAATAAAAAACTTTCTAATAAAGGGTAAAATAGTTTTTTCACTTAATTTCGCTAACATCAAAAATATAATCTTTGGCCATGAATATTCTTGACCATTGGATGATCTTGAGGGGCTAGACCCAATGGTGAAAAGTGGCTCTTTGTAATACAAAACAAGGGAGAACGAATGGCCACTAGATGAAGATTGGATCTAAAGGCTTACATGCATGAAGAATGAGACATTTACTCTTTATAAGGGGGTTAAAAGGAAGGGAGGCTATTGGAAATTAAAGTGCAAAGAGGAGGAAAAGAAAAGAATAGAAAAATTTTGGTGAACTTTTTTGGAGGTATAATTTGTACTATCTCTCTCATTTTTTTATTTCATACCATTTCATATCATTTTCATATTGTTTTTATCTCTTAATTTTTCTATTTTTCTTGAAAAGACAATTTCCTCATAGTTGTTTGTTTCCATAGCTCCAAGCTTGACCTAAAACTTCGACCAACTAATCAATAGTTTGTGTTTGAAACAAAAGAGTTAAAGAAATAAAAAAACTCCACCATTAAATCCCTTTTGAATGTAATGGCTAGATGTTGTTGATTCCTTGCTTGATTGCATGGGTTTTTGGTTTGTTCTTCAAGTTTTCTATATGTTTAATGAAATTCTCAAGGAATAAAAATGTTAGATTTATAGACTTTTGGTGATTTTATATTATTTGCATGAGTTTCAAAAAAAAAAAAATGGTGGAACATGTTTTTGATTTTTTTTAAACTATTGGTGTTTAAACTATTTTTGCCATATTTTTGCATCAATGTTTAGTTTATAATATATTTGTAAATATGCCTAAGTTTGTAATATGTTTATTTTCATACATGGTCCGTGCATTAAAGTTTACATTTTCATTAATGGCATTTAGGTAATTTTGTCACATTACTCCCACACATCAAAGTTTGCATTTTTATCAATAGCATTTTGGTAATTTTGTTTCATGCCTTCCAAAACCATAAACTCTATATCCTAAAACCAAACCTTAAACCTTAAACCCTAACCTTAAACCCTAAATCTAAACCTTGAACTCCAAACCAATCCCAAAACCAAAACCCTAATCTTAAACGCCAAAATTGAAACCCTAAACCTAAACCTTAGGTTAACCTTAAACCTTAAAACCAACATGATCCCCTTTATGCATTTGCATTTTATTATTTTGTTGTCACATGCATTATTTAATTATCATGCATTTATATTTTATCATTCATATTTAATTGTCATGCATTCATCATATATTATTTTGTTCATGTATATTGCATAAGTTTTATAAATAAGGTTTTTTAAATGAAAGTGTTCTAAAAAAATATAATATCTCAAATAAATATAAACTTTCAGAATCTGGTCTAAATATAGGAGGACTTTTAACAATTATTATTTATGTGAGGTATTATTTCGATTTTGTGAGGCAATTTAAAAATTTTTAAGTTAGAGATATTTTTAAAGTTTTACTTAAATATAGGAGAATGGAAAAGGTATATAGATACTTAAGATATTTTCATTTTGATCCAAAAATAAGTTGTTTTACTTTAAAAAAAAAACTAAAAATGATTCTGCCTTTAAAAGAAAAAGAAAAAAAAAGAGGGGATTTGATTTTTGGAATAAACAAAGGAATTAATTTCTAAATATTAAAAATAGGACTATTTTTACTAAAATCTAAAGATAACATGCAATTAATTTATACCATCTTCAACGGATACTGTGGGGATGCTAATCCTTCATCTCGTATAATTGATTTCTAAACCCAACTTTGTTTTTGCAGATCACAAAATGTTTTTTTATAAAACTTTAAACTTATTTTAAATGTTTTATCAAAAGAACAAACTTTTCTGGTAGCCAATCACATTCTAAAAAAATTGGTGGCAACTCATCGATTTTGTTTTTATTGAAAAAGCTTTTTAGCCCGCTTGTTTTTCATTCCCTAAGTTTGGCAGTCAAGTTCCTCAAGCCAATATGTTGTGACAAGGTTCTCTTTAGTTTTCTAGTTCTTTTATTTACATTTCTATTTGGCTAAAGTGACAATTTAGCCTACATTATGTTTTCTTAAGCAATTTCAATACAAGTTTCTTTACAATTTTTACAAGCTTTCTTACTTTTAGTTCGTGTAGCATACATTGTGTTTTGTTAAGCAATTTCAATACAAGTTTCTTTACAATTTTTACAAGCTCTCTTTCTTTTAGTTCATCCAAAGCAAACTATTTTTTATTTCATCCTTTTTCAATCACTCTCAAGCAATCTTGTTTTCTTTAAAAAGCCTTAGATTTGTTTACTTTTGGTATACTTAATCTTGTTTCAACCTACTTATATTCCCATTGAAAGCATTCAGTTTTTACTTATTAACTTGCAATCACTCATGTTCTTTTAAGCATATTTGGTCAATTTTCATTTTTCATTTCAAAGCATTTGGTTCCATCAAGTTTTAAGTTTATTTTATATTGCAAAATTGTTTTCTTATTTTTTGTTCTATTCGGCTTGCAAGATTCCTATTTTGCTTAGTTTAGTCTTGCGGTTTTTACATTATCAAGCTACTTTGTGTTCATTTCAACCTAAAAAACTTTGGCCATCTAGATATGAGGTTCATAGAAATCACTTTAGTATTTGGCCTTACACCGTAATTTAGTCTTTAAGGGAATGACAAACCTTCTCCCACTATTATTACTTGGTAACGACTTTTGCACTTGTAACCTCATAAAAATGAGCAATTAGCATCTCATTTTATTTTTACATGCATTATTAAATTATCATACATTTACATTTTGTTGTTCATTTTTCATCATCATGCATATATATATATATATATGTATGTATTATTGTTATGCTTATGCAAACCATGCATATGTTTTATAAATGAGGTTTTCTATGAAAAATGTTTTAAAATAAGATATTATCTCAAGTAAAAATAACTTTGGAGATCTGACCTAAATATAAGAAGATCCTCAACAGTTATCATTTATGTGAAATGTTATCTTGGTTTTATAGTGTAATTTGAAAACTCATAAGTTAGAGGCATTTTTGGCGCTTTGTCTAAATGTAAGGAAGTGGATGAAGTGTCTCAATATTAGGATTTTTTCTCTTGATTCGAAAATAAATTTTTTTTTAAGTTTAAAATGATTTCCTTTCAAAAAAAAAAGAAAAATACATATTAAAAGATTTTTAACTTTTGGAATAAAAAATGAAAGAAAGAAATTAATTTATAAACATTATAATAGGATCATTTTTACCAAAATTCAAAGATAACATCCAATAAATTAGTTTTGCTTTCAACAGACACAATAGGATGTTACTATTTTATCGCGTATAACTAACTCTCGAACCCAATTTTGATTTTGTAAACCACAATATTATATTAGAAGTATAACATTTTTGGATGGCCAACTACACCCTAAAAAAGATCGATGACAACTTTTCGATTTTGATTTTACTAAAAATGCTTTTTACTCATTTTTTTTTCCATGTCTGGTGGTCGAGTTCTCAGACCCACACATCATGACATAATTCAATAACAAAACCTCTTCATGAGTAATAATAGATATGTTGAATACTTTTTGAGGTAACAAAATATTCTTAAATTTCTTATAAAATAATAAGGTAATTTAAAGATAGTTTCCAATATCAAATTCTTTTGAAACTATTTTTAAGAAAATTTTCTATATTTAATAGATAACATAAAATCAATTGGTATTATAATTGGATGAACATTATGATAGTGTTATAACTTTTTCTAAACGTAATTATATTTTCGAGCTCAACTTTGATTTTTATACCAAAATATTTTTACTAAATCTTAATTAACTTTAGAGTTATTTAAGGATAAAATTAATGACCAACTATACCTAAAAATATTGGTGACGATTCTTGCTTTTGCATTTAGCAATCAAAAGGTTCATTATGACACTTAAAAGAAAACCCTACACTAAATACAAGTAAGAAATAACTTAGAACAGAATAAGGGAGATAGAGAATCAACTATCTTGAAGGAATCAAAAAGAAAAAGAATAACAAAAACATAAGAGAATGAGAAAGGGACTAACCAAGAAATGGTCGGTAAGAGTAGAAGGAAAAGAGACGTCACTGGCCTGGGATCGGGGGAGTGAGAGACATAGCCGACACCAAAAGGATGGTTGTTCGACTGCTACATAAGCGTAGGAAATAGACAAGAGTAAGGGGAAGGTATGCCACATTAGTTATAACGAGATGAGATGAGTTAAGGTGAGGATTTGAATCAAACTGATTGACATTTTTTAGGTTTAAGTGTCTTAAAGGTAAGATAATAAATTATTAATTAAAATTACAAAAATATATTTAAATAAAAAACTGGAAAGCTACTCGATTTTAATATTTTAATACTCAAAATCGATAATTTAAATTACTCGAAAAAATAATCAAACCGAGTTTTTTTTTTTTTTTGTGTTTTTTTTTTCCTTCTAGTCGAGCCCAAAAACTTGTGTCTACGTTACACCCCAACTCATGAACAACAACTTCAAAATTTAGGAATGCAATTTATTCTTTATGGGTACTACTGTCCCAAAATTTCTAGTCCCACCAGTATTTATTTAACCTCTAGTTTCGGGAGGCATAAAAATAAAATATAAAACGTATCTAATAGCAAGTATCCTCACACAAAGAGCCATAGCTAAAAAAAAAATTGAAAACCAGCAATTACACTTTTGTTAACAGCAAAAGACGTTGCCTTGTCCAAACTTATAGCTTAGTAGGTATAGCCCGTGACAAACATTCCTTTCTTAGCTTCCTCACTTTCACCCTCGGCAGAGTATTTTCCAAGCTGAGCCAGTGAGTTTGCCTTTGCACGCACCAAAAGAGCCTTCTGTGCGTCTTCAACATTCTCAGGACGCCCTTGCCATGTCTTAAGCACAGTGTTCTGCAATGCACGTGCGTACGAGAAAGAAACATGCCAGGGATTGGGGCTCTGGTTCATTGCATGCAAGTTCAATGTGGCTTCTACCTCAGACTGTCCTCCAGACAAAAACTGCAAGATAAACAAATGCATTAATCATTTTATTAATCAAAATTTATCCATTATAGATCAAAGGCATATATCAATAAATAGAAGAATAGATATAAATATGCTTTAGAAGGCGAGATATCAAGAACAACCTACATGATGAACATCTAACACTAAAAGCTTTGACAAGTTTTTCATGCCATTTCACGCCCAATCATCATCAGGTTTTAGTTATGCATACCAATATCAACCTTAATGTCCACACCAATGAGGAAAGTAACGACTTATGTATTAAACATTAAAGCTCCATTTGATCGATGCTTTCACCATTTGCCTTTTTTTTTTTTGGTTTTCTCTTTTTTTTTCAAAAAATTTTTTCTCTATTCTTTTTTTTTTTTTTGTAAAAATAAAAGCAAAAATAGCAAAAAACTAAATACAAAAACATAAAAAAAAATGGAGCCTAAACGTGCATAAGGTTTTTTTGGTACCATGATTCCTGGAACTGCTGGTGGAACTCTCCTTTTGAGCATTGTGAGTGTATATTTGGCAATAGTCTCTGGAGAAGCCTTCTCCTTGTGTTCAGCTCCTGGGGTTACCATGCTGGGCTTGAGTAAGATGCCCTCAAATATAACATTATTCTCAGCCAAGTAGAAAAAGACTTCTGCCCAGACTTTCTCCGCTACTTCAAGGGTCCTCTCAATAGGGTGGTCACCATCGAGAAGAATCTCAGGTTCCACTATTGGCACAAGACCATTGTCCTGGTCATTCATATTAACATAAGAGTTAGCTCAATACACAAACCAATTAGAATATAAAATAAGACCAAGTAACAACAGATCTAGCCAACACACAACTCATGTTAGAATGTGAGAAGCCAGTAGAAAATTAATCTAATTTCCATGCACAGAATGAGGCGAATTGGTTATAATTTAGAATTCTAACAACTTCAATTTTTGGTAGGGAAATAAAAAGCCTTGCATTTGTTTTAGTGAGTTATAAGAAACTAATTAAATATGACAGAATACCTGAGAAATGGCAGCATAACGTGCAAGTCCCCATGCAGCTTCCTTAACAGCCAGAGCAGAAGGACCACAAGGAATGCTAACAACTGTCCTCCTGGGTATTTTAAAATTATATCATGGAATTGCAACACATGTATGTGTGTGTGTGTGTGTGTGTGTATATATATATATGTCAACAAAATAAAGGCATTATTAACCAACCAGAACTTTCATGTGAACTTCATAAGGCACAAGTTAACCGTGTACAATTGACTTACCACTTGGCAAACCGAGCACCTTGTTTGTAGTATTCAGCAGATCTTGACGACAATCCATCCAAGCCCTGGCACCAAGATTCATTGTTTGATCCTGGAAGAGGAACCAAACCCTGAAACACAAGTAAAAGATTGAATTAATGAGAACCAACAAAAAAAATTCCCAAAGCATGTAAATGTGGAATTCAGTAGTGTCACACCTTATCAACTTTGATGCCAGGCATAATTTTCTGGTCACGCAAGATATCTACAAACTTCTTCCCATCTGTCGTTGACTGGTAAAGTGTTTCCTCAAAAAGAATGGCACCAGAAATATATTCACCAAGGCCAGGAGTTGTGAGCAGAAGCTGTCTGTAAGCCTGGCGGTTGGGCTCCGTATTGTCTAAGCCAATAGAAGATAATCTCTTCCCACATGTAGCATTCGATTCATCAATTGCCAGGATTCCACGGCCAGGTGATGCAATAGTTTTCTACATCGTGAGGAAACAAATAAAAAACAATTTAGCACAATCTAGTCCATCAAACCACTTGGCCAGCCCATAAATTTTTCTCAGATAATTCTCCATTCAAGCATCAATGCAAAACACCTGCTCTAATCTCGCTTGTGAAAGGAGACATAAACGGAAACCGAGTAGTTAAAAAGGAATTCCACCAATACCTCAAGCTCCTCCAGTCAAGAAACGTAACAGAAAAACAGAAAGTTTATACTCCCTTTGATTGTTATTTCTTTTTCGTATACAAGCAAAAGGTAAAAACTGCATTTTGGATATGAAATCAAATACTAACATATAAAATAACTGAAATTGAAATTTTATAATTACCAAAGGGATTGATCTAGTTTCAAATAAACCATATTTGAATATCTATAACATTTTAGTTACTTTTTCATTTTAATCAAATACAGATTTAGCTTTTAACAAAGATAAAATTAAAAAAAAAGTAACAAAAGCATCAACCACAAGCTATCGAATCGACTACTATAATTTTTTTCATAACAAAGGAACGATCTTTAGCCAACAAAAACAATCTAATAAAACGACAAATAAAATAATCTTGGAAAATTAAAAGGAATAAAAAAAAAGATCAAAGAAAATACTAACAGCGGTTTGGATGAGCTCGTCGGTGTAAGCGCCAGCACGGATCGGGAGCGAGATTCTGCGAGTGACGAGTCGAGTTGACGATCCGGACCGTTGAGGGAAAGACTGATGGCCACCGATCCACGTGGAAGACGCGGCGTTTAGCTTAGCGAAGCTAGCACAAGCCATGGTAAAGCGACAACAATAACAGCGGCAATCGGGAAAGAGATCGAAAGGGGAGTGCGATTATTACCCAGCAAAAAGGGTTAGGCAGTTGGTTTGGTGAGGGAGACCTAAGAGTTTCTGTTTCGAATTGGGTCACGCTTGTGATGTCGTTTTTATACGAGAGTGGGGACACCGTCTTTTGCCTCGAAAAATCCGGAATGCGGAGTTAGCTGTTTACTATGATACGAGACAGAAACATGCGGCATTACCAAACAGTCCTCTGTTAACTCTGTTCAGAGTTACTAGATTGCCCATTTTGAATTTACTGTTTTAACCTTTTTCATCAAGAATAATTTTTTCCAACAAAAGAGTTTTTTTTTTTTTTCTCTATCCGGACAAAAAATACTTTCAGATTACCAACCTAGGGATTGTTTTAAAATATTTAAATCATGGTTAAAATAATAAAAAATTTTAAAATTTTATCATTTTATTTAAATAAATTTTTATATTTTTATTGCATTCAAGTAGATTTTTAATTTTTAATTTATATCCAAATAAACACTTAACATTTAATTTATATATAAACAAACCCTTAACATAATATATAATGTATGTAAGATATTAATTTCTTATGATCACAATTCTTTGAAGTAAAATTTTTGCTTATATATTTTAAATACATTTTTATATTTTTAAATATAATTTAATTGAAGATTTTCAATAAAAAAGTGTCGTAAATGTTAAATAATTTTTAGTTACTTAATATATTAAGTTAATTATATTTAAGAAAAAATGTTATATAATTGTATTAATTTTATATTATTTCTTTTAACAATTTATTCTTTGCTTTTTAACTTTTACCAATTGAAAACAATTATAAAACCATATCTCATTTTTATAAAATATTAATAAAAATTTTATTTAACATCTAATTTTTAGTAGCATGCCAAACGATTTTTATATCATAAATTAATTACTTAGAATTTTCAAAACTAAAAATTTAGTACTTAATTTTTAATGTTGAATTTGTTCAATGCTAAAAGCAACCCCTTTGTTAATGTTATGAATGATGTGAGCTATAATAAAATAATTAATGTAATGCTTTAATTTTAAAATATTTTAATATAATAATTGAATTATGAATTTGTTAATTAATATAATACTCACTCATAATATAAATAACTCCAAATGATAATGTATGACATATAAATTATTTTTCAAATATTACATTTAATAGATTTATAATTCAAATATTATATTAAAAATTTTTTAAATTTAAGTATCACATTTAATATTTTATTATAATCTAAGTGTTATTCAAATATTAACCCACTTATCTTTAATTCCTCGTTAATAGTAGTTCATAGATTAGATAGGTCGAGTCGAGTTCTATTACTATTCTACAATATCTTTTACAAAAATCGATTTGTTGAATTTAAAAAAAAATTATAAATTTTTTAAAAATATTAAAATATTAATATTTGAATAATTTTAAATATATTATAAAATAAAATTTAATAAAAAATAAAATAATATTTTGAATCAAACTAGGTTTGATTTTAAAAATTTTTATCCAAAATGCAATCCGAATCAAGTTATGACCATGTGTCAAGCAAATAATCCTACCATTAACAGATCTACTCATTAGGAAAAGTAAAAAAAAAAAAAAAAAAAAAAAAAACATTGTATTTCATGAGTTTCGTGTTGCCCCGATTTAATAAGATTAAATTTTTTATTTGAAAATTAGGTTTGGAGAGTTTGGGAATAAATAAATAGAAGTTAATTTGGGATTAGATTTAGGTTTTGTTCTATCCCATCCCAATGAACATATAAAAAAGTTATATTTTTTTTTACTTTTTTGCCAAATTTTAATTTATATTTATTAGTATATTTATATTATGTTAATAAATATATTATTTAATAATAATTAAAAGACTAATTTAATAATATAATAAATATTTTAGAGTAATTAACATGAAACTTATTTCTAAAAATAAAAATTTTATATGAAAATCACATGATATCATAAAACCAATTTTGTAAAAAGACAAGTTGGATGACTGTGATATCCCGATGTCAGGGCAGCCTAGTTCGGGTTAAAAAATTAAGCTTCATTTTTTTGAAGAAAATGATTTTTATAAATTGATTTTTGCATGTTTTAATGTTAGTTTGGAAGAAAATTTATTAATAAATAAAAAATAAAATTTTGTCAACGAAAATAAGATTACATTTTTGGAAATTACTTTCCTTTAAAAAAAAAAAAGGAAAATAACTTTTTGGAAGATAATTTTTTGAAGAGAGTTACCTATAGGTAGAATTATTTACTAAATTCGTTAGCATAATTCTAGTCAAGTTGGCTTTGGAACATGATTTTTTTAAGTTTAGTTTAATTTGATTGACCAAAAATATTATTCTATTAATAAAAAATATTTTATTTAATATTAATTATAAAATTATAAAATATTAATATTTAAAGTCATCTAATATTTAATTTTAAATATTTTTATAATTCTATTCAAGCTAGACTTTGAATATAATTATTTAAACTCGAATTTAATTTAACCCGACCAAAGTATTAAAATACTAATATTAAAAATCCCCTAAATATTATTATATTTACAAAAATATTTTTATTTAATTTTAATTAAAAATAAAATTTTACATGAGGACAAACAAGAAAACCATAATCATTAGTTAATTTTAAAATATGGCAAAATTTAGTTTCTTGTGGTTTAAAAATATGTAAAAAAAAAATTAAAAATTAAAAATTAAGACAATAAAAAAAATAATATGAACTACAATTAGGTATGCTTGATATTAATATTAATATTAAATTACACCAATCCTCGACAATGACATGAAAAACCTGTTTGCTATTGCAAGTACAAAGGTCGTAATAAGTAATACAGTAAAAGAGTATTGTTTCTATAGAGATTGTAAATATAATTAGTATTAAATATCAAAATTAAAATATCCTAGATTATATTAAGACAAATTGAAAATTTAAGTAATTAACTAAATTAAATTTATAAATAGAAAAGTAAATAACATATAAATTAAAGATTGCGGCAAATATACCAAACTAATATGCATAAAACATGAGACAACAACTAACAACCATCAACCGAAATTAACCCTAAGCTAAAACAAGGGATTGAATTAGATTGCTTAAAATTAAACCAAACCAAATTAATAAGTAATATAAATTGCATGAATTAAACTCTAACTCTAATTAAAACAAATTGCATACTAACAAGAATTAAGAACTGTAAATTACCTATTGCATAAGTTGAAATCTTAAATTGCTAGAACATAAACTAAAATGAAATTTAAAAGAATTGTATTAAACAAAAACTTGTATAAACTAAAATTAAAAGAATTGTAAGAACTTAAAATAAATAGTAAGGAGCTTAAACTAGAAATGAATTTAAAGTGCATAAACTTAATTGAAAAGTAAATTTTGTAAGAACAAAAAATTAAATTTGAATTTAAAAGAAACTGTAAATAACTTTGAATTTAAAGAGTGAGAAACATTAAAATTATAGATGGCTTGGTCTCTCAGGCCAATCATTATGCTAAAGAAAACTTAACAGAATAGTAGAAAAACCTAAGCTAAAACATGATCTGTCACCCCAAGTCAATGCTTTTTTTAATGCCTAGAAATAGGTATTTATAGAAAAAGATTACAAAGGAACCTTAAACTAGGTGCGGCAAAATTGATCTTCTAATCTTGAGGACTTTTTGATTTAGTTTAAGTAAACTACTTGAGTGGAAAAAGAACTTTTAGTTCCAATCTTGGTGTACTTCATTTGAACATCTCAAAATGAAAGAGTAGACCGAATCTGTTGCAGACTAAAAAAACAATTGAATTGGATTTGGGTTACTTTTTTTAATTTGGACTTTTTTTTTTTTAAGGCTTTGGTTGAGCTTAGCCCAACTAGCATACATAGTTGGCTATACCGTTATAAGGAGGAAAAAGAATGTAGCGTGTTATCCAAGATTCCAAGAGCGTAGCAGCTCCATGACTGTTAGCTAAAAATAGAATGAGGAAGGGATGACGATTATTTTGGAGATTGGAACAAACATCCTTTTTCTCTCTACTGTTCATCTCTTATTCTTCTTCTTTTTCCTTTCCACTATTTTTTTTGTTTTGTAATCTTTGAAATTTAACCAACATCATTTGGTATTGGAGCGTCGACCGAGCAACAATGGCGAATGGAGTGACCACAAGGCATTAGAAGGATGTTCAACGGAATCAACAAGAGTTGTCCAAGCTTGAACAGGAGCTGTCCCAACTTTACGTTGATACGCGGCAGATGGAATCTAGATTGTTGCATTAAATGGACTTGAGGATGGATCAGAAGTTGGAATCTTTTAGGACTGAGCTACAGGCAGAATTTAAGAGATTGATGTTAATGGCTTCCAAGGAGGGTAGCTCTACAACGTGCGGTCAATCAGAGGATCAAATTTCTCCTAACAAAGTTGATAAACAGCCAGAAAATGAGCCACAAGTAGTGGGGTTGTCAAATCTTCTTTTGAAGAGGTATTTATGAACAACTCCTTTTTTCTCAGAACCGGTATTTGAATTTTGACCCTTATAAGTTGTTCAAATGGGATTTTCCTAAGTTTAGTGGGGATGATTTCAAAGGCTGGTCTATAAACTCGAACAATACTTTGAAGCTGAAAAAGTTCCTAAGTATGCTAAAGTGAGGGTGGTGATGTTGAACTTGGAAGGCAAGGCCTTACAGTGGCACCAGCACTATGCTAAGTCTCAGGGGGGGGGGCTTAATCAACTGGTTTGGGCAGCTTATATTTGGGAGATGAAGGAGAGGTTTGTATATGAGGATTATGAGGATCCTATGGCAGAACTTGTTGAGCTTAAGTAAGCTACTTCTACTTCTGTAAAACAATATTATGAGGATTTTTTTGGGTGCTCTGAAGCTGTTGCAATTGTCTAATCAGTATGCTTTGAACATTTTTATTAGCAATTTGAAAGATGATATATCTCAATCTATTAAGTTGTTTAAACCTAAGACCTTAAACCAAGCCTTCTATTTAGCTAAGCAAATTGAGACCATCACTTATCCCAATCCTAAAAGAACTTATTCCTTTACCAAAACACATCTAACAGTATATCATTCCACCACTAGCAGCATCCATACAAAAACCAGTAACTTTCCTCCTTTATTACCACCACCTAAAGCACCTCCTACATTAATTTACTGTTTCC